AATGATGAAAATCTGATTCGACTTTTGCGGCGTTCAGTTTTTTTTTTTTTTTTTTTTTTTTTCCCCCCCCCCAAAATGCTTGATGTACGTTTTGACTCTTGAGTTCTTTTCTCCTCCAGCTGAAGAATGATAGAGGGTTCTGCTTCCGACGAGACTTGGAGAGCTATTGGAGGAAGACGTGGAGGATCGATCCGCGGTGAATCAGATTGTTTAAACTCCATAGCTGGCTGGTTGGTGCTGGTCGGTACCGACTCCATCGCTGGTTGGTTGGCTGGTGCTGATTGGTTATCTCCATGGCTGGCTGGTTGATGCTGTTTGCTTAGGAGTCCATAGCTGGCTGGTTGGTGCTGATTGACGACGGAAAGCCACGTGGCTGGAAGCTGAAGGTCCTCCATCGATCGTTTGGCAATCGAGGGGGGTGATTGATTGGTGGAGGTACTTGGTTGGTAGTACTGATTGGTTAGACTCCATAGTTGTGACTAAAAGTTGGTGGGGGTGATCGGTATGAAGTCCATAACTGGCTGGTTGGTGCTGATTGGTTAAAAGACTCCGTATTACCTGGCTGGTTGGTGGCGATTGGCGGCTGACAGCCAGCCACGTGGCTGGAAACTGAAGGTCCTCGGTCGCTCGGCAATCGAGGGTCACTGTGATTGGTTCGTGGAGGTCCTTGCCATGATAGATGAGCAAGGAGGACATGGGAATGGGGCGGGGTCTACGGGTGGGACGGTGTTGAGCTTCCATGATCATTGCTCGTTTCAAGAGGCAGACAGTGTGATTATGGGGATTAGCGATGCAGCCGACAGCTCTGGGAATCATGTCCAACAAGAGCAGCATTACCCGTCCAGACGGCCGGATCGTGCCCAAGTCAGCGGTGAAGAGGAGATGGTGTCCACGGGGGCAGAAATGGCCACGTCAGACCGAGGACTTCAGCTGAGAGAGAGGGAGAGTTCACACAATGTCATGCTTGATAGCACCGTCGGAAGCAGCAGTGGTCGGGTGTCGGGGGGCTTGGCGCGCATGGGAACGGGACTGCTGCTTGGCGATTCTCGACGGGAGACTGGCGAGAGACGCTGGGACCTACCTCATGAGTCTCAGAGTGAAGGTGAAAGAGATCGACATCGAGCCGCAGCAACGGGTGGAGCAGGCGCTGCTGGCGGTGGAACCGGGCTAGGACAAAGACGGGAATCCAGGCCAGTAGTACCTCTGCGGCACACCCAGCGGAGTAGCTATGGTGACGGAGAGTACGACGATGATGAATTCAATAGTGGAGGAGGTAGTAGACCAATGGGAAGGAGGTATAGTCTCCACTCTCACAGAGTCTTCGGCGATCATGGTGGACGCTTTTCGAAAAACGGTCTAGGAACAACGCATCGTGATTGGTCAAAATCCTCTCATCCCTCTGCGGAGGCTTCTGAGACAGAGAGCATCGCTTCAAGATCGGCTGCCGCGGCCGCACCTGGGGCCAAAAGGCGTCCTTTCAGTCGGGGTTCTAGTCGCGGTCCCGGTCCCGGTCCCTTGCGAAAGTCGCCGGCCGCTACCCTCCGGTCAGACCAAGACCGGGAGGCCGGAGATGATAGAGATATGGCCATTCCCTCTCGAAGGAGCTCAGCAGGTCATCGCGCAAGCCGCGGCTTCCACCGCGATGGTACCTCCAGCGATGAGTTGCATAGCGAGATCGATAAACTACTTGGGGGACTGAAGACGGAACTGGATGGCTGGCGTGAAGGTTTCGACGACGTTTGCTCGTTCTGGGTAGAAAAAATGAGACTGGAGTATCCGGACACCGAGGAAGATGATTGGGTAATGCAATCCATGGAGGAGCTCCGGCTGTCACTGGAAAGGTATGTCGACGATGTGGAGACGGAGAGGAAGGGGATGCAGCAGAAGTGTCAAGCGTTGTCGTGTGAGAAAGCCGAAATGATGCGGATGGTTGACGATGCCGTAGCAGAGGTGGAGGGCCTCCGCGCTGCGGAGAGAGAGGCTAGGGACAAGACCAAAATGGAAACGGAGAGTGCTATGAATGAGCTGCGTGCCCAGATTAAGTTGCTCAGTTCGGAGCTGGAGGAGAGGGGGAAGCAGCTGCACGAGTTTCGCAATACGTCAACAATGCAGTCCAAACACATTTCTGCACTGCAGGTGTCGTCCATCGAACGCGATGAGAAGATTGTGAATCAACGGCGAAGGATCGACGAGCTGGAGATCATTTACATGGACGCAAAGAGGGAGCTGGAAAGGAAAGAGGAGAAGCTTTCTGCCAATTCTTCCCTGATCCAAGCCCTTCAGCAGCAACTGGAGGAGATGAAAGAGGAGAGGAGAATGGCGGAGGAAGAAATCCATCGTAAGAACGAAGAGCTGCAACGCGCAGATGATCGCATCAATCAGACCACTCACCAACACCTCAGAGAGGTGTCGGCGCTGAAGGCTAGCATTGCGGAGGTGGAGGAGGCACTGCAACGCAAGGACCAAAGGTTGGTCCATGTGGAAAAGGTGGTCGCGGACACAGAGAAGGAGCTAGCAGCAGCGAAAGCCGAGCAAAAGGAGGTGAAAAACGAGTCGATTCTACTGCAACAAGAGCTGAGCTCCAAAACGGAGGAGGCTCGATACTTGAGGAGTGAAGTGAACAGGATTATCGAGGAAATGGGTGCATTGAAAACGGATTTCGACTACTGGAAGGGCGAAGCGGAAAGCTACCGAAGCGAAGTGGAGGCGCTCAAGGCGAAGAATTCGGAAGCGTCCGCGCAGGTGCTGAAGATGGAGACGGAAATGGAATCTGTGATGAAGTCTCTAGAAAAAGCGGAGGAGGAGAAGAGGGAGGTGGACGAGGAGATAAGAAACCTTCGGGAGAAGATGGAACGCGACGAGGCAGCATGGGTGCAGGCCAAGGACGCGATGGAAGAAAAGCATAAGAAGACTCTGCGAGCTTGGGAGTTGCAGCAGATTGAGCTGGAGGCAAGAACAAGGGAGAAGTATGAGACGCTGATGCTGGAGCAGGAGGAGCATCTGCAGCGCCTGGAGGCGGAGCGAGTGAGAGCAGCCGCGGCAGAGGCGGAGCGGGTGAGAAAGCTGGAGGCGGACCGCAAGCGGAGGGAAGAGATGGTCCAGCAGCAGCTGGTTGGCGAGTTGCATGAGGAGTTCCGGCAGGAGAAAGAGGCTCTGCAAACGGAGGCCCGCGAGGCGGTCATGGCCAAGGAGAAAGAACTGCTTGCCCAGGCCAAGCAGCACATTGACACGCTGAAGGAAGAGCATAGGAAGGAGATAGAAGAGCTGCGCATGGAAGCGGCGAAGGAAGCAGCGGCGATGAAAGCAGCCCAACGGAAATTCGAGGAGGAGGTGCAAGCGCACGCGCAGCGGGTTGTTCGGGAGCACGTGAAGGTGATCGAGGAGGACATGCATGCAAGGCAAGAGCGGTACAACAGGGACAGAGAGGCAGCTTCTGAGAAACTGTTGGAGAGGGAGCGTGCAGCACACACGGCAGCCATGGAAGCCCAAGAGAATGAGCGGCACCTACGAGACGAGCTCGCACGGCTGCAAAGTGTGTGCAAGATGAACGACGACGAGCTGGCGATGGCGTTGAGATCATCAAAGCAATCACAGGAGACGGCCGACTTCTACAGGAAGAAGTTGGATCAGGCAGAAATAGAGTTGAAGAAGGTAAAAGAGGAGTGGGCAAGAACAGTCAACGCTCACAATGACGCCATGCAGAAGCTGCGTGTGGAACGGCGATCTGAGCTGGAAGACAAGGCAGATCAGCTGCAGGCGGCAATTGAGGAGATGTCAACGAAATTGGTCAGGAAGGCAAGGGATGTGATCATGGTGGAAGATGGGGAATTCACATTCCAGAATGAGGCAGCAGAGTACTATACAGAAGAAGAAGCTCACATCCCAGGTGATTCACATTCCATGTGAATTTGGCCCATGGCGGTGACCACGATCATCAGTTGAACCACCACTACTTTCAACGAGGAGAGCCGGAGCATGAGCGGCTACAGTGCCGTGACGGTTCGCGTCAAATCACTACAGCTCAGCGATGATCGGGCAGGCCCGTAACCCGTTCATCCCAGCCCAGCGCTTCCGGGCGCGTGCACGACCGCACTTTCGCAAAGGACCGGTGGTTTAACACTGTGTGTTGCCATCGTCACATCTATAATTTGTGCGCATACCATGTGAATGTAGCCTGTGGCGGTGACCGGGTACGGTATCAGTTAATATCAGTTAATACTGTATGTTGCAAGCATCGTGGTTGGTTGGTGGTGCCCTTGACAGAGTCGCGAAATGCCAACACAGGTACTATGACTAAGCCGAGGGAGGCCAACTCACAGCGATGCTGTGATCCAGACCCCCACCACCATCAAGAGGGAAGGGTTCTTTTTGTGTTACGGCAGGTTCGATGATATTGTGGATGAACAGTCTGCAAGATTGGAGCCTTGTTCAAAAAAAAAAAAAAAAAAAGTACGACCCCTTCCACCAATGATTAATGTTGCACACCCGCACGTGATCAGCATCTTGATCAAATCAGCAGGCCCTCTGGTTTCACCTTTTAGCTTGATATCTAAGTGGATGAGAATATGAGAGAATAGTCTATAGACTCTATAGAGTACTGTATAGACGAGACTCCATGCCGAACCCAACCTCCACAGATCGCAGCAAAGTGGGATCCCTTGCGTCATCAATGGTTTCAAGTCTGGGAGCAGTGCTTTCTTTTTTTTTTTTTCTTTTTTTTTTTTCGGCACACCATACAATCTCGCGCAGTCTCCGCTACGCAAGTCTGGGAGCAGTGCATTCAACATCTAGAATGTATCGGTACGAGAAAGCATCCAGATGCATTGAGAGTGATGCGCAGCGGTCACATGCATGCAGTCACCAAGTGTTGGCTCGTGTAACGTCGTTCCTAATAAGCGGGGGGTCGTGCAATCTCCGGGAAATGGGCTTGCTCCGCTATGCAAAACTCTCCATGCATTTGTATGCTTTCTCGTACCGATGCATGCAAGATGTGGGAAGCGTTCCAATGAACCTGGTCGAGAATACATCCAAATGCATGCGGACTGTTGCGTAGTGGAGCGATGCCTCTGCTACACAACACTCTACATGCATTTGGACGCTTTTCTGGAACCGATGCATTCGAGATGTTGGAAGCGTTCCAATGAACCTGGTCCGGAAAGTGTCCAAATGCATCCGGAGTGTTGCGTAATGGAGCCATGATCCCCAATGGTTCATCTTATCGATGATCCCTATCTACTTCTAATGTGAAGAAGGCGAAGGATTCCATTCCATCTCTCAGTTAATGTCCGTCATCCATTTGCAAGGACCTTGGGAATCTTCTCCTGTTTTTTTTTTTAAGGGCGGCAGTCTAGAGATATATCCACACATTACTAGCCCCAGGTAATTCCAGATCATTATTATTGATATTATTCTCGATGACATGTCATGATTAATAATTGATTATTGATTATTGAACAACTTTTTGTTTCTTCGTCTTCTTTTTCCCGAAGGCTAATTGATTATTCAACCTTTTTTTTTTTTTTTTTTTTTTTAAC